AAACACGTGCGTCTAAGACCGCGTCTCGTAGCACAGTAGTGGCCCTGGCCAAGAGAGCCAGGCGACACTAGGGGGTGTCGCATGTACATGTGCGGTGGCCCACCAGTAAAAATGTCGCCTGGTCTAGGAGGCTGGTGCGTTCTGCCTCCAAGGTCTCCAGAGTGCTGGTCACGCATAATGTGCTCAAGCAACTCTGCCCTCAGGGCTAGATGGGGTCTGATCCCGAAACCACACCGACCGGGTAGTGTTTGGTCCAGTGGGAAGTGTTGCTTTATGTTATCCCCACTCGGGGGCCTTAAGCATTACATCCTCCACGGCTGACCAACGCCGCCCATCAACATCGTTTGCATGCTCTGCGCCCCACTCCGCACTCAGGCGGACAGGGAGAGACTTGCCGACGGGGTTGCTTTGGATCCTGACGCCGTGATCCCATAAGCGTTGAAGCAACCTTAGGTGGTTGCTTTAGGATCAAGGGTGGGGGTATATACATCGTATCACTGGGATCGATGATACTCCGCCTCACCCCAAAAGCGTGGCTCACCGAGTCATACAGATGGATGACTCTGAGGGAACGCCCGGAGTACTGGCTGTATCTGACGCGAACGAACTGCATCTCCTTTCACTTTAATATGTGAGAGGGAGCGTGTTCGACTGTGCTCAAAAGATCAACCAACAACTGGAATTTATACAAAAGTTTGCAAAGTTATCTGAAGATCAAAAACATGATGTGAAGCAATATGAATCAAAACTGGTCGACCAATTTGATACCAAGGTTAAAATTAATGAAGCAAATCATACAGCAAAGTTACTTCAAGTTACTAAAAAAGATGATCTTAACAAACTTGATAAAAAACTTGAAGCAGCTTCACTAGCATTTGAAATTAAATACACTGAACACACTGAAGTGAATTTGTTGGATTCTGCTGAATCACATTTTGAAATTTTATTTGGCACACACAAGGAATACAAATGCACACCATGTGCATCACATCTCCATGTTGTATATAAAATCAAGCCAGGTATCACTCGTCACATGCAAACTGTCCATGGTAAGTTCAGCACAAAAGATCTGAAACAAAACACAAGATTACTAATCTCAATATTTAATATCAAAAATCTGTCATAATAATAAATTATTATTTACACTTGGTAAAACTATTCTAAAGTCAGCCTAAATTGTCAAATTTGTAATGACACTATTTTCTAGGTATTAATTCTTCAACTTCAAACACATCAATGTGTGTCACGTTTACTGGAGTAATGGGGCAAGTGGAAGGGGCGTGGCACATTTTTTTTGAAAATCATTTGTATATTTATATGTAAACTATATTTAGTATATTCTCACTTTAATATTACATAATTTATTATGAATAATATGTCAGAAAAAATATTGAGAGAAACGAATGAAATGCATTGG